AAAAAAATAATATTTATGTACTGCAAATTTGTTTTAATAAGAAAAAAACATTGTCTGAATTATAGACTTGATTAGATTAGGTAAATTAATTTTTTTATTAGATAAAAAAAATAGACAATAAATAACATTAGAATTGACCAAGTTCTTACTAAAAATGACCAAGATAATCTAGAAAAAACAAATTCTTCAAATAAGGATAAATAATATAACTCAATTTCCAATCAATTAAATATTTAATGATGGAATGGGGTAAAAAAAACTAAAAATAATTGGTCCTAGTCCATCCAAGTTAGCATGACAACCTTATAAACCTAGAAATAAAGTCAAGCCAACCTGAGTTATCATGTTAAATCCACGACCTAAATCATAATATCAGAATAACCTAGAATAAAAAAATATTAACTCACATTAACTATTCAAATATATGACATGGATCATTAAACTCAAAACACCTTATCTTAAAAAAACATAAAACTTAATTTTCAGTCAATCAAATATTGAAGGATAAAATTAAAAAAAATAACTATACAAAAGAGTTTAATATAAAAAATAGCAATTAAAAGAATATTAATTAAAATCATAATAGAAAATAACTTATATATTTTACTGCATGGTAGAATTGAAAAGAAAAAACCCATTTAGCAAAAGAGAAAAAAATTCATTAAAAAGGAATGAAGATAGAAATTAATATAAATAATAAATTTTATATTTCATTAAAGAGTAAAATTAAAAATAAAATAAACTCAATAAAAACATCCATTTCATTGTGCTTTTAAAATATAAAAATACCTACTTAATTTCTGCTGATAAATTTAACTTATGAAAAACTCCAATGCTTTGAATAGCAGCTAGTGTTAAGTTTTTTTCACTTGAAAAACAAAATCCTAGTTACACTGTTACAATAAATATCACTTCTTAGCCTAGACCTGCAATGTTTTCTCGGTGCCCTCCTGGCTTTGTTAATTGGAGCAAGGATCGGCTTTTTTTTTTCGTTGATTAACGTGGGTGTCCGAGCCAGTTGACGCGCATCACGACTAATTCCACGGTCCACTGGACATCCGGCAAGCCTCAGTGAACAGGTTAGGCACCGCGGGGGTGACAGGCGTACCACACAGCAAGGAGCCAGCAGAATCAGGAAGGACACCACTCGCCAGCCCCACTCCCACTAGGACTCGAACCAAAGTACAAAAGAAGACGAGCAACACCTTACGCCACTGAGCTACAAGCTGCTTGGTGCAAGGATCGGCCTTGGTTTGGGTGCGCTGATGGCTCTGTCCATGAGGATAATCGGCTGGGTGTCGTGGAGCTGGTACTTATTAAACAAGGTTTACTTAATTTGTGTCTAAAATTATTGTAATTATATGGTAATGGTTTGAAGAAATAAATTTTAAAAAATATATAAATTATAAAACTTTTAGTAAAACTCCTATACCCACTCCCACTAGGACTCGAACCAAAGTACAAAAGAAGACGAGCAACACCTTACGCCACTGAGCTACAAGCTGCTTGGTGCAAGGATCGGCCTTGGTTTGGGTGCGCTGATGGCTCTGTCCATGAGGATAATCGGCTGGGTGTCGTGGAGCTGGTACTTATTAAACAAGGTTTACTTAATTTGTGTCTAAAATTATTGTAATTATATGGTAATGGTTTGAAGAAATAAATTTTAAAAAATATATAAATTATAAAACTTTTAGTAAAACTCCTACAATATGGTAACACGACGCACCGTACAAACAAGCAATGCTGGCCTTCGTTGGACGTATAAATCAATACTGTCCTCAACTGAAGTGTTTTTTTCACCATTATAAGGCTGCATGTCTCGTCGTGGATTCAACAATACTTCAGAATTTTTAAAAAGTACTTGTGTGCCTTTAATAATAGATAAAAAAAAAAAACGTTTCAAATAAAGCTACATTTGTTTGTAGTTAATCCGGTGCAGCAATGGTGATTTTCATTTGATGTCGTCTAGTGTGTATCCCTCCAACAAAACGTATCTTGCAGAATCAATCTTACGACAAGAACCTGTATATGGACCCCTAACTAATAACTGAAACAAACGACAAAAACAAAGTGTTTTATATTTATCTCCCCAGCTCTTATATGACACACCAACTACTAATGTGTTATTCATTTAATTCATGTTTTAAAAAATTATATAAAAAATTTAAAATATAAACTGAAAACCTCATACAAGTAAGATCAAGATATTTCTAAACATAATATACTTATTTTTTTAAATAAATAATATACTTATATTTCAAAACACAAATGCATAGTAATAAGATCTCACAAAGCTGATTTCTTAATAAATTAATTATCAAAAAATAAAATAAAAAAGAATTTAATTACATAAAAAGAATAAAAAAAATAAAGGTGAAAAGAACATTAATTAGAGGGATAAAAATTTTCAATTGAAGGGTTTAATTGAATTGGAAAGTAGCTAAAATAAAAGTAAAAAAACAAAAGAAAAGGAGTCAAACTAAAAATATAAAATATTAGAAAATTTAATTTAAAAATGAAATTGAATGGAAAAAAAAACTTCAATAAAGTACCGATGATAAAATTAAATTTATTTAAAAACAAGGATTAAAATGAAAAATCAAATATATAAAAAATTATAATTGAAAAATTATATTGAAAAATAAAAACTATTATAAATGGAAACGGAAAGGGATAAGAAGATAGTAGAACGAGGAATAAAATTGAAAAGTGAAAAACAAAAAAAATAATATTAACATGATAATGCATTCAAAGAAACAATAAAATATAAGTTATGTTTGCCCGGATATGTGATAAACACCATTTGAATAACACAGACACCACCAACATCCAAGTAAATACTAATCATGCTCTAATAATTTTAAATATTAAAAAATTAAAAAATGTCAAAATACCTGCACGGCCTGATAATTACATAAAAATCTATATAAAAGTACGAAAATACCTCTCCATGCTAGGTTTAATTATTTTCTTGTCGGGAAATATACCCTGCTATACTAGCATTAATTGACCTCAGGAGATTAATCTTGACCGTCGACTGCCAAAACTGATCATGGTCGACAAATGAAGTGTAAGGCCGTGATGGAGCTGTCATTGCCATGAGTTACAGCCACCAACTTCATGTCACAGGTGTCAAATAAAGAATGTCACGTGCTGCTCGCCGAAGTCTTAAATGACAATTCACGTTCGAAAATTGACCACTCACACAGACAGTCGAACCTTTGCTCTCAAGTCTTTGTTTAATGAAAGAATCATGTTCCGCCATAAAGAAGAAATTACTTTCCAAACTACAAGTAGTTTCGTGGTGCTTGCGTAGAATAATCCTTGATAATTCCCCCTTCTAAATTATTCTTAATTTAGTTTAATGACATGTTTTAAACGTTGTTTTATTTTTTAGATTAATGAGTGTTATAAGTATCGGTGTAATATTGGTATAATTTATTTTTAAGCATTGGTTTAGTGGTTAATAAAGCATGTCCATTCATTAACGTTTCAAGTTCAAATCTTAAAATTAGTACTCGATAACATTTATTATTTTTTAGAGATAATTTAGTCTTAATTAATATATAAAATAATTGAAAAATATTTTTTACTGCCAAATTAATCTTATAAAAAAATAATACTTTTTAATTACTAGGGAAAACAAAAAAAACAAAAACAAAAAGGTCCTAGACATGATAACGAGTCGAAGATCAAAATCTATTTTAAATTGATGTTAATAATTGTTAGATTGACTAATCTTCAGAATTCAAGGGGTGATGGTTGAGTGATGTGTTGCGTGGACGAACAATCGGTACAGATTAAGAGATTTAAATAGTCTGTTGGTCGATAATCTTTTTATTTTAACATGGATGGCTGTTTTTAATAAATTCGAGACTACTCTCTGTATTTTACAAGGGATACCACGTGCAAAATGTTAATATTTTTTTTAATATTCTACATAAAACATTATTATTTTGTAATTCTATATATATATATATATATATATAATCTCGGATGGCTTTATATGTCCTCATATTCTAGAGGTTAATTATATCCAATCTATCTTCATATATTTAACTACATTTAATCTGACATTAAAAAAAATAGTGTGTCTTCAATCTATTATTTCGAGATTTTCATGCTAGAATTAATAAAAATACAGCACGTGTTTTGTACATGATCAGATTTAAACTTTATATATCCAAAGTACCGTTCATTTTAAAATAGAGAGTAAGAGAAGACTATTTAGAAATCTAATTAAGGTTTGATATACTAGGATTTGGTACTTAGTTTTGATAAGTTGCATGAATAAATTATTCAACATGCTATAAGTTTTGAAAAAAAATTATCTATGACATTTATTTTTTTTTAAATATTTTTTGAATTAGAGGTGTATTAGATATATAAAATCTTAATTTAATCATGTATGAATTATGTGTTATATTTTCGTTAATTCTTACCATGAAAATCTAATAAAAAAAATATACTAAAGACATTGAATACAATTAAATATATAAAAATAAATTAGATATTATAAATTTCAAGCAAAGTCATTCTCACTAAACACAAGCCCTTCCATTTTAAATTAAAATTTATTTAAATACACATAGATTTAAAAATTAATTTGAGTTCGAATCCAAACAAAGCCTGTATCATGAATTTGAATGGTTGATTCAAATCACCTTAATCAATTTATTTTTAATTAACAGTTTAAGAATTAGGTGAAGTCTATATCAACTAAATCAGCTAATGAATTTTGGTTTTTATAAAGTTAACTAAATTTTTTAACCCAAATCAATTTATGACCCGAGTGATGGCCGGGTTTTATACCTATAAAAGTAAATTACCTAACCTACCCCTATCGAAATGATGATGCATCCACCTCCATTCCATTGCCGCGTCAGTCAACCCTCGTCAAAACCCGAAGCTAGAGGAAGAGAGACACGTCCACCACCGTAAAAACAAAATCCAAAAATAAAAATAAAACTAACAGAAAAAACGCCTATATAAACTGACTCCCGCTAATTCTTCATGTCTCGCCAGCAAAACACAAACACACACAACTACCCACACACACACACACAATCACACTCTTCTCTATCTCTCCCTCTCCTTCTAATGGATTCCCCCTCTAGCTCCTCCGTCATCATCATCGGCGCTGGTGTCTCCGGTAATCGACAACCGATACAAATATACATAAACACTTATAATCTGAAACTAAAAATTAAGCATTTTTTGTTCTCTTTCTTGTGTCAAGGTATATCTGCGGGAAAGGTATTGGCAGAGAATGGAATAGAGGACATGATAATTTTAGAAGCTTCAGACCGTATCGGTGGTAGGATCCGAAAGGAGAATTTCGCTGGCGTTTCGGTTGAGCTTGGAGCCGGTTGGATCGCCGGAGTTGGTGGTAAAGAGTCCAACCCTGTTTGGGAACTTGCTTGTCAATCTGGCCTCCGCACTTGTTTCTCTGATTACAGCAATGCTCGCTATAATATCTATGATCGCAGGTATCTTTATACGTGCCCGCCTCGAATTTTGAGCTTTCTATCTTCAAATGAAAAATGACACAACATCTGGACACTGAGCAACGGAAAATTTTAAAGAGAAATTCTTCTTGGATGGTAAAGAAAGTGGATTTCTTTTGCTGTGTTGTTGGTGCAGTGGGAAAATATTTCCTAGTGGAGTGGCGGCAGACTCGTACAAGAAGGCGGTGGACTCAGCAATTGAGAAGCTGAGGAGTCTAGAAGCAAATCTTGACGGTGAAGTTATTGAACAGCCTTGGTAAATTTCAAGTCTTCAAATCAATCGATTAATATATAATTCTTAATGGTCTTAATAAGTTATAATCTTAATGTCTTTTGCTTGTTCAGTTCACCAAAGACGCCCATCGAGCTTGCCATTGATTTCATCCTTCATGACTTTGAGATGGCAGGTTGGTTTTCCAACTGATTTTACACTATTTTCTGTTTGTTTCCCAGGAAAGGAAAATACTATCTTGGTACCCTGTTTATGCCTTTTTTTTTGTTGGTTTATCTCATAAAATGTGGAGAACAAATTAATAAGCTCAAATGGGTTTATTTCGTTGTATTGTAATAATCGATTGAAGACTGCTAAACAGAGAAGTTAATGGGTTTTTGTGAAAACAGAGGTAGAGCCAATATCAACATATGTAGAGTTTGGAGAAAGAGAATTTCTGGTAGCAGATGACAGAGGATATGAGCATTTGCTATACAAAATGGCCGAGAATTTTCTTTTTACCTCTGAGGGCAAAATCTTGGACAACCGTCTCAAACTCAACAAGGTAATTCAACAGTTAAAACAAACAAAAAAGAAATGGAAAGACACCACCTTTTGATTTCTTTTCCTACAACTTATTTCTTGTTGCTTTATGATTTGTTCTGCTCTACATTTGTTTTATCGCTTTTATGCATTTGCTAAAACAAAGGGAAAATGCTAAAAGTTAACAGAGCGGTCGAAAAAAGATAAAAAAAAAGAAGGAACAGAGAAAAGTGTAGGAAGAAAATTGGAAACTGTGTTCTGTTTTGTGTTCATGCAGATGCGAAGCTATAAATCTAGTGGCTGTTGAGATTGTTGATTGACCCACTTTTGGAGTTTGCAGATAATGACGTTTTAAGAAAAGCCTTATGCCTTTTCTTAATATTCTATTCTTGCTAGTACCATTTTGCCAAAAAAATATTCAATCATTTTTCATTTCTTTTTTCAAGAGTCAAACTGATCTCGCTCTGTTTTTTTTTTTTGGGTACTGTTATTTTTTCCAACATTTCAACCATGGTAAAGCTTTTAAGTATCTATCTACATCATATCAAGGAGATTTTTCGAGGTTGATGCGCTTTAAAGATGATAAAATCTACTTCTTGTCATCATCAACTCGAGAAAGAAAGAAAATTTAAGCTTAGCATGAATAATGCGATATGATAAACAATTTAGACAAGAGACCATTTACGCTGTTCCATTATTGTCAGAAAAGCTGTCTGAAACATGCTTTCAGAGCATTAGACTAAAACTGGGAATGGAGGTATGAATGGAATATTTTTGCCGGACTTGTAATTGAAATATCAACCATCTTAACATTGATTACTCTCTTGTGGAAGTTGTTGAATAACATCATCCATTGTTATTATTTAGTTCCAGACCTTAAAACTTTGGTCTTTGACCCTTTGCTCGCTACATCCTCATGATGAAAACAAACCACAATTTTCAGTGAGCTTTTTGAGTGGAGGACCCCTACATAGAGCCATTAGAAGTTGACCTCCGAACATGTTTGATTTTTCAATCATATAGCCATTGATCGGCAAAAAGTTGGTCGTCATCCTTCAATCAGCGAAGTGTGTTTTTACCGCTCTAGACGCTGTAGGTCCCTGAACCCGCAATTTGCACCAACACTGACACGAATTAGACCACTATACGGTCAGTAGGTTGAGATGTCATATCAACTCAAAATAAGAACATCAAATTAGCTAGTCCTGTCCATTTCTTCATTTATTTTTTTCTGTACTCAGTTCCCTAAAAAAAAAAGATATCCTCAGTTGCTCCAGAGAGTCAGAACAGATCAGAACCTAATGAAACCTTAGGGTGACTGATTTAGGTTGAATTGGTTTTAAACTAATTTTTTTATATATTGTTAAGATTATTTTAATATGTTCATGTTAAAATATATATATATATATATATTTTTCCAATAAAAATTACTTCAAAGCTGTTCGTTCCATTTCCATCTCTCAGTGCGCACATATTTTCTTGGTTTGACTTCATAGAATCTATCTCATTGGAGTAGTTACTGTTAATGTTAATTAATTGCCTCGGACTCCGCTAATACTATTGGTTTCTACCTTCCTTTTCCCACTCAGTTTATTTTGTGTGCTGACTTTGTGGCAGGTTGTCAGGGACTTGCAGCACTCGAGAAACGGCGTTGTTGTGAAAACGGAGGATGGTTGTGTCTACGAAGCCAATTATGTGATTTTGTCAGCTAGTATCGGTGTTCTCCAAAGTGACCTCATTTCCTTCAGGCCTCCCTTGCCCGTACGTCTTCTATTCCTTTATTTAACTTGCTTACTGTTCCTCCTTTTTTAAAAAAAAAAAATTCTACGTCTCATATTTTAACTACCATGACATGAGTCGTGTGTGCTGCTTCCAAAATTTTCATAAATATACGACTCTGATGCTCTTTTATCTGTCTTAAATGTACCATGCATGTGTTCAATATCCTTTATTTTGTTTCCCTTATACGTGTATTGTTTATATCTTGAACTTTCAACGTGTTTGTTCCAATGTAGGGGAATCTACACTTATATAGGGATAAGGCCCTATGCCATGGGGGGTGGGATTAGCGGGATTCTTCAATCTTTCATTTGATATTTAGGGTTGTGGCCCAGGATATTAAATACTATCATTGAAGTTGAAGGCGTCAGGGATTTATGGCAGCTAGGCCTTGTAGTTATTAAATAAGGTTTAGGTGGTGTGATGATGCAAGAGATAGCTTCTCGAGGTGTCTTACTGTCTTTGTAGAAGAGCAAATACCGTGGGTTGCATGAATGGTGATCCACAGTATTAAATGGTAACCCACAGGCTCACTCATGGGTTGCTGTTCTTTGGTGGCTCATTTGGTTGATTCACCACGTGTGAGGCCCTAGTGGGACAAATCCTTTTTTTTTTTTGTAACAGTTGTTTCCCATGAACAATCCTGAGCAGTCGTATCAAACAATGCTACGGATCTGTTCAAAACAAATAAATAAAAATAACAATGCTGCCTGGAATAGCTTTTTTATTTTATTTTAACCTAAACTTGGTGGGCAACTCTTGGACACACTGGTTTCAGCTTCAACATATAGCTATGAACCTTAAGATTCTTTATTAGTTGTTCAAATGACTTGGGAGCGAGCAACTCGTGTGATGTAGGATTACTTTGTTGTAAAGGAAGAGGAAGCATTAGAAATCTTAGATGGCACTGATTAAGAATCTTGTCCTTTGATTGCTTCAAATACTACGTAGAGAGTTGGGTGGGGTTAATCTTGTTTTGAATGTATATATGCTTTTGTTATTTGGCTATTTTCGAAGGAAAAATCATATATAGTCAGATTGTCCAAGCCTATGTGCTGTAACTTCTGAGATACAGTATGGGTGTGATCTGTCCTTTTTAGTGAAACTTAGGGTGCTAATCTGTTCACATGATCTGCGTAATTTTCTGGGCAGATATCTAGGAATGACTCAGAAGAATATGAGCTTTTATTTCATTAGTTTTAAATTGAAAAAGACATCACCTGGATTCGGAAAAGGTTAAGAAAGCTTAGCTGGTTTGAAGCTTACTCCCATCATATTATAAGTTAATGTTCTGTGCTGTATTTAATTAAATTAAAAAATAATAATGCAGAGGTGGAAAACAGAGGCCATAGAGAAATGTGATGTGATGATATATACAAAGATTTTCCTCAAGTTCCCATATAAATTTTGGCCATGTGGTCCCGGAAAAGAGTTCTTCATCTATGCTCACGAGCGAAGGGGATACTACACCTTCTGGCAGGTTATTTCTCCTCCCTGTTTTTGCTTCCCAGATCATATTCCGAATGCCGTGTTGCTTGCTTCTGTTGAATGGAATTTGAAAACAATCGTTCAACACTGCATTTGAAACTTCAAACGTGCATGTTCTTTGGATGATGGACAGTGATTCAATTCTCCGTCTATCCCAAGTGCCTTGCATTTAAATCTTTCATTTATAATTGCAACCTCAGGCCAACCTTTAGTTCAAGAAGTCAATAGACTGCATGGTGCTAAGGGGAACATGGATGCTGACTTTTTTCCGATCCTTATACACCTTGCTGCTTGGCAGCTTAGGTTTAATGTCAAACAGTTTCAGCATCGATAGTGACATATTTTGATAATTTCTTTGAAGGGGAAGCTCAAACCTGGGACCTTTTTTGCAGGCTGTTGTATTGGCCGGCCCACCCACATTTAGATTATGGTTGGCATGACACTTCCGATTTTAAATCATAATTCAAAATTTGTTTTTTATAAACAATTTATGATAAAAATAAGTTAAAATTGACTTGAAACAACTCTTTTAAAGAAGGATGTGTACGTTAGAATCCATAAGTTAAAAATTAAAAAAATTTAACTTTTGATTTAAGTTAAGATTTACTTCCTACCAATTCAAATCAATTTGCAAAAATCATACCAAACATAACCCAATGCCTACGATAGTAGTTTGACTAAATAAAGCAGCTTGTCCTGTTGTAGATCTCATATGATAGCTTGATGGCAACATGATAAGAAAATGTCGACTAGCTTTCTTGCATAGGAAGCAAACTAGAATCCCCTGCATTATTTGTTTTTGTATTGTTCTTCCAGTTATTATGTACCTGGTGTTTCTGTCATTGTCTTAGAGCTGGCGATTCTAGTTGAATTAAGGGAATCGATTGCAATGCCAGCCTCTCTTTTATAATTTTATTTCTATATATGTAGACAAGATATGTGCATGATAATCAATTTTGAGACCCACAACATCTAAAATTATTTCCTCTCACTTGATTAGGAGAGGATTGAAATATTTTAACGATCTCTCGTGTCCTCTTGCGGAAGCATTGTGGGATCTCACTGTCTCCAACATTTTCACATATATACATCCATGTATTATCAACGCAGATTCTATGCTTATACTATGGCAAATAGACGTGATTGATTGATAAGTATAATATCTCTTAATAATCAAATCATAGCTAGAAACTCACTGAACTCATCCAAGTTGGCTGCTGATTTGTTGCTTCGTCATCAGCACATGGAAAATGCATACCCTGGTTCGAATATTTTGGTCGTGACGCTGACAAATGGGGAATCGAAACGTGTTGAAGCTCAATCCGATGAGGAGACACTGGAGGAAGCTATGGGGGTCCTTAGAGACATGTTTGGACCCAATATACCTAATGCCACTGATGTACTTGTGCCCCGCTGGTGGAACAACAGATTCCAGCGTGGCAGCTACAGCAACTACCCCATCATTTCAGATAACCAAGATGTTCATTATATTAAGGTAATTCCCATCTTATTTCTGCTGCATATGTTCCTCTGTTTTCACGCTGGCTGTACATGGCAGTTTCAATGTTGCAGTTGTTTCATTGAAAAAGAGGAAAAATAAAGAGAGCTTCATAATGCATTTCTAAATCTGCTTGTTTTGTTCAGGCCCCGGTAGGACGCATCTTCTTCACTGGTGAACACACTAGTGAACGATTTAGTGGTTATGTCCATGGCGGATATCTTGCGGGTGAGAATACTTGAAATGGAACTCTTTTCGTCAATGTGGTTTCTTGAGCTTACTTGTATTTCATGTTTTCTGATCGACTAAACAGGGATTGACACAAGCAAATCACTATTGGAAGAAATGAGAAAACAGAAGGAAAGAAAAAGTGAGAGTCAAGCATTTTTGTTAGAGCCCTTGCTGGCATTGACAGGATCACTAACACTCACACAGACAGAAGCAGTCCCAAGTCTACACAAGTGTGACATTCCTACACAACTCTACCTTGGTGGCAAGGTTGGCCTTCAAGAAGCGATATTATGACTATATGGACCTACTAACGAATCCAACTTTAATGATGCTAACGATGAAAATATGTTAGATGAGAAAGAAGATGGCTGGATCTCTTTGGATCCGAAATCAACCCCCCTTCAGAAAATAGAATAGAATGAAATGGATAAATGCAAGAAAACAGGCATAGGCACGCGACTTGGTGAATAAACATTTCCCAACTCCTGCAGCTTATATATCCTATTCGGCATTATGGAGGTAATTGTTTGAGGCATACATGTGATGTTAGCTAATTGGGGTAAAACCTAGAGACAAGAAAGAAGCATACTTATGATTCTAATTGTACCGGTTACTTGTTTATACAAGATAAACCCTTCCAACTCATCTACCTTTTGATTTTTTCTGCAAATTGATGTTTGTCGCACTTGCAACATCTATAACAATGAACCATCAGATCAAATTGAGCAATGGCTAAGAAAGTTCAAGCTTAAAATCAATGGAAGATTATTGGATCTGTAACTGTGACAAACTGTGTAGTGCACAATGGAGTAATTCTTCATGCCAAAGTTGGACAAGGCCGGCCGTGCCTGCATATGGAATAGTCAGAGAAACACGACAACTCATGATTTCTTTTTAAAGCCCCAAACAAGAAGGGCTCAGATATCATAATCCCTTAAAATAAATGTGCAGGTTTTTACTGCTCTGCTCATCTTTTTGAGCCCACTAGATTTCTTTAACGCCATTGAAATGATTCAACCAAAGTATTTTCTGTACAATGCTTTAGCAATAGCAAGAGCATCTCCCTTGGCCTTCACAGGATAAATCTTCGTATCCGCTTGCCATTTGTTTGAGAAGGCTATCCATTCTTTTCTCCATTCTGTCAACTTGAAGTTTTTATTTTCTTCCAAGCTTTTCATCAAATGACCAAAATATGTTGAAGCTCGTGGAAGATAATAGTCTTCTAGTAGCCCGCTCCAAAATTTGTTAGCTAAGAGGAAAAGAGGGAGAGTATCTGTACCCAATTCCGAGGCCTAAAAATATAATAAAGAAGGTGAAGAGTAAATAGGAACGTTACCATAATCATGAAGCTGGCTCTGGTTGGTTTTTGTCGTATCATACCACATTGTCACTTGTGTTCTTGCATTCCATTCATACTGGAAAAAATAAGCGGTACGTTCAGTAATCTTGCATCATCAAATTTGCCTTACAAAAACCCTGTTATAGTTTCTGAAAAAGAACAAAGAAAACACTGTTCCAACAACTTGCTCCTTTGAAACAATGATGTCATTAAATCCATCAAAATCCACAATCATAAATAACAGTCTCTAAATTCAGCATAGTGGGTGAAGTGCTTGTGAATAAACATGTAACAGGAAAAACATCGACAAGGGGAAAATATAACTTGAAAGAAAGTTGAAGGCATAACTTGAACAAGGAAAAAAATAATATTTATGACCTGTGAGAAAAGACAAGGTGACATCTGATTTAAGAGAATAGACAGCTATAAAATAGATAGAATTAATAAAAACTGAAAAGAAATTGTGCAGCAAACCCTAATCTTGACATGAAATTTCATTCAGCTGTTTTAGCATGTGATTGAAGAAATGAAACTTTGGCTTATACAATTCAATCAAATAATAACAATGCTATTATTCTCCAAAGCTAAGGAACTATTAGTTCTCACCAACTTCATATCGTTTGGATCAACAGCCAGCTTTTTTGCACTTTCAAGCCATGTTCCAAGTAGAAAGTTATCATCAGAAGCAAGAAGCACATCGATATCCTTTATGATCTGCAAAAATTTCTGGCCATGAAGATTCAAAGCTCTAGCATCTTTCCTTCGAAAAGCAATCATAGCATCCCTATATACTTGGTTTGCTAGCTTTGACAGTACTTGTCGTGTTAAGTCAACCAGGTCATACCTGTCACAAATGACAATATTTAAATAGTTTTGAGGTTGAATTATATTTTTTCTGTGTTTCGCATGTCATATAAGAGTAATCTGCACAAAAAAAAATTCCAACAGAATTTCCACACCCCATGACAATGCATCATCACCCTTTTCACCAGACCACACAATTTACAGGCGAGTATACGAACATAAGTTGACACCTCAGAACCACACCAAGAACTGTAGAACTTCTCAGTATAAAGGGAAATTCATTAAAGTTGATATCAAATAATAAATCCAGGAAGACACTCAGGCAACATGAAGAAACACGAAGCATTGATATTAGCTGCTGGAGAGAGCTTGGAGATAACTGAAGAGTCAGAGACAGATGAAAGGATAAGTCATGTTTTTACAGCTCAAAAGGTTGGGGTAATAGAGTTTGTTTAGGAAATTGGTGTTTTCTTTGGTTCATATGCATGTTATGTGGAATTATCATTAAACAAATATTTTCAGTTGTACCCTTAGGCCTCAAAAGGCGTATCCATATTATACAAGCACATGCTTTTGAAAAAAAGCTGAGAAATTTTGGTTGACATTCTAATTCCTTTACCGTCTCTTACCATTTCTCCTGTTGTTACAAAATAGCTTTCTTTATTCAGTTAAATCTTATTCACCTGTCAAAAATGAAAATAGAAAAAAAATTCTTTCCAATAACTTTGGCACGAGTTACTAAAAAGTTCGAGTTGTGTGCATTTTATGAAGTCAAAAGCATAGTTCATTCATGTAATGGACCGAGTCAATCCTGCTGAATCACAAACTGAATTTGGCTGATTAGCAAGCCATAACAGATACATATCAACCAAGGAGCTAAAAGTAAATTATGAGAGCAATTCAGATGAATCATGTAAGCATGCTTTATTCGCTTTCCAGATGAACATGGAAGGGAATGGTAGTTGATACACAGGATTCTAAAGTAGAAGAAGACAAAGATCATGATATAACTATTGCATATTAGGTGTACATGTACCTATATGTGAGGCTCCCGACAAAATCATTTCCAGCATCAAGGAATAGCCATAAAGCTTGGATCACCTCCTTTGTAGAATACCATAAGTGCGCCTCAGGGAAATCAGAACTTTTCTCTTGGAATAAAAATCTTCTGGTTCCAGATGACGTGAGATGAATGCGCATATTGTCTTGTTGAGATATGTTGGATCCAGAATTCAGTGATGGATCCCAGTCAGGAAACTTTACAATGAAGTCTGTGTTATGGTCCTGCAGAAAATGAAAACAATTATTAGTATTTAAGAGAGATAAGCCAAAAATTGAAAGCCAGTTTATCAAATAACAAAGTAAAAAAAATAAAAATAGATAAATAATCTAACATTGGAATATCAAAAAGAATTCCTCTGTCATAACTTATCTCCTGCTTAGTTCAGTTTCTAATTTTGGAATATCAAAAAGAATTCCTCTGTCACTGCTATGACTTATCTCCTGCTTAGTTCAGTTTCTAAATTTATCTTATCAAGAAAACTAAAATGACATATTGATGTTGCATCTAATCAACATAATAGAAAACATACAGCAATTCCATCTGTACAATTGTAAACTGTGCGGTAAAGAATATCCCACGCTGCCACAACTTGACGAACTGCTTTACCATATCGTCTATGGGAATAGGTCTTCAACCATTCCTACAAAATCATTAAAGTTAAACAATGTCCATAATACAACAAAAATCACGCACAAGAATAAGGATCTCTCATTTAATCAGTCCCATGTTTCCATTTTTACCAAGATATCCATAGATGATTGCATTTATAACAAGCAGGTTTGGAAACCCAATTATGTAATGGTTTATGTAATGGTTGTTTTTGTAAAACCATATTTTTATTTTCAAAATATATGCATCAATGCATGTAAAAATAGTGTTACTACTAAAATTTAAGCATAGAAGAGCAATTACAATCCTAAAATTACCAGAGCTTGCACTCAAATTACCAAAACTATTCAAGCATAGAGCAGCAATTACAATCCAGAAATTACCAAAACTTGAGGTTTTCCACTGCGGAATGCCATTTCAGACATTAGTTCATAAACAACCGGATTGTGCTCTATTCCTTCCATGCACATGCCAACACCAACCTGCTTGAACATTAAATTGTAAGTTACATGAATGAGCATGTATAGCTATACGTGTACTAAAAATAGCATGCCATAAGATAACTATAAATAAGTTATCATACTTATGTGAAGAAAAATAGACAAAATTAAAGGCATCAAGATGAAATAACACTACTAATTGTAATTTCTTTCAACTCCATCATCATGTTAAAATGGCTTACTTGGCTATAGTTCACAAAATTTACGTGCTTAAAGTATCAAGATGAATGGAATACCAGTTCACACTCACACACCCAGCATACCATGGTTGAATTTTCACTGAGGCGGGCATCAACTGGACCTGAAGATATTGCATCCAATATGCCATACATTTCGATATTTCCCCCAAAATTATGCAACAGACACCTGATGCATGTTCAACCAACTGTGAGTATATTTCCTACTATATTCAAATGCAATTTAAAAACAAAGGCGTAGGAAAGGGTAAAATTACTGCCAATATAGCAAGAAACAGCTAATTACCAAACATAAGGAGTGCCATAAAATTGTGAGGAATTCTTCCATATCGGTTTGGCTTCAGCAAACAGATCTAAAACTATCATTTTTCCAAATGGAACAGAATGTAAAAGAGCCTGCAAATTCCACCAAGTTGAAATTTTAAACAGCAAAAGTATCCAAAATAAGCCACATTTGTATGACAGCAAGAAGCGCTAATAAATAGAGAATTGGGAACAGAAAACTTGAGGCATGGTTCAGAGTGAAAATGATGCAAATAGCACCTGAAAAATTTATAGAAAAGGGGGGCAATAAAATTTATAGAAAAGGTGGGGAATCAAATCCTACAAGCATGTTGTTTTGACTTGATCCTAATTGGAGCTAACCTAGATTCTTTACTAGATAATATGGCATAATTTGGAGGGTCTAATTGCCAGGGGAGGTTGTCATTTTTGTTTTTGTAAGGGGCAATTTTTTAATGTTGGGAAAGTTGACCAGTCAACTTTTTCAGCATCAAGGAAGTGACCAGCTATGGTGCACCTCCATGGGCACCTCCTTTATATTCTTTGCAACCCCACTTTTGAGAGGCTGGTTTTCAATGAATGAAATTGAGACCCCAGCCTTTAAGGTTTAGATGTGTGATGCATCTTATCTTAGGTGTGATGCCTAAGATTTTGTAGGAGTGATTTCTAGGAGCCCTGGTGTGATACTAGGTTTGTTTACTTCCTTTTAGCTTGCTTGATCCTTAGTTCCTTGTTGTTTACTTTCCTAAACCACAACCTTAAGCTGAACACACCCCCAATACCCACCTAAAGCCCCATTTCCTAACCTATCAATTCTGTTACAGCTTATAACACATAGTAGTTAGGTTC